AGGGCCACCCAAGCGCCATGCACCAGATGCCGGTGCGTGTTCCGCACCTCGGGCCGGCGCCTCCAGTGCGCTGCGCGCCGAGGGCGGGGCCGGCCCAGGTTGTTGGTGGGCGCACACAAATGCCCCGGCGGGCGCCATGGCGCCCGCGGGCACCGCGTTGGGGACCACTGGTATAGACCTAGCCTAGTTGTTTGAGGGCAGGATCGTTAAGCACTTGTGAACTACAAAAGTTTTGTCAATCAACTTCAAGTGTGAACATAGCCCTCAGTCTCCACTGTATACAATTTCTGGGATATCAACATGTCTGGCTACTCCATTGTTGTGCCTGAAAGGCTGACTGTGGATGTTCCAAGCTCACAACATATTTCAGTAACACGTACACACAATACTTCATACAGCTGCATGTGATACCACATACAATCCAACAGGATAATTCATGTTCAACAGATCACAACAGATCAAGATTTTCAAAATGATACCTCATAAGGCATACTTTGTACAGAACACATAATTATGGTTCCAGTGGTGAATATGAGGCTTCTGGGGTGATGTTTTGATGTACAGAGTGCTACAATTTGGTATTACACACTCAGTATAAGTGAAAATAAAAATTGAGGAAGTAATGCTGCATGACAATCACAAGTGAGCTAAAGTTAGAGAACACCTGCTGATTTACATCCCTTTTAATGTGTGTCACATTGTGTTTTAGGTGCTATACCACAGTAACAATTTGGTATCTCTGTCCTTAGCCGTGCAGGCTGTCTAAATGAGCAACAATACAGATCTTTATTTCCAAGAGTAATAACAGAACACTCTCTATGACTGACCCTGTTCCTACTTCATTTAATGCTTATCTGTCAATCTAATCAATGGGTCCCGTAGATAATGTTATGTTATCTATGTACTAGCCGGCCCCAGCCAGGTGACTTGGTACTGGTGCTTCAGGATTTTGCAGATGATTTTGTAACTTAGGCTTCTCTTGCCCTTAGCTGTAGAAAAGCTTGTCTTTACCAAAATGAAATTGAGCCACATGTGAGTTCTCAATGTCACTTTGGTTAACTAGTGTGTTGGGAAGATTAATTTTTGTGAAACATTTCCACATCTTTGGCCAAATACAAACTGGGAATATTACTGTTATTAGAGAGAAGATGCAATCAGGTCTTAATACAGAAACGGATCCCTTGGCTAGTTCCATTTTTTTTTTTTAAGATTTTTTGAAGATAAAATTCCACCTTTTCCAAGTTAGCCTTCGGAATATAAAATCAGATCCAAACTTGGACAATTACTCCATATTACAAATGACATGTATAATCTTAACCCAGGTGTGAAAACATAAAAGATATATAATGAACTGATCTCAACTGATTGCATGGCAATTAACCCTTTCTTCTCAATTCTTAAAAATTCTCTATACTATTCTTAGGCCCTGATTCTCCCACTAGATCTATTTAGGTGCAAAGATTCACTTGCATGGATCAAGTTGCAGAATCAAGGCTACTGACAGTAAATACTAAGACTATTAAGCAACAATGACTGAGTCTGTGTATAAAAATAAAAAAGGGAAAAATTATATCTTTTTCCAAAATATAAAGATTAAACTGTAGATATACTATGCTTTAATATTAAGCCAGAAAATCTGGACTCTCTCTTAATGTTTAACTTAACTAGAATCAAATGTCAAGAGGAAGGAAATACTTTCCAATTCTCTTGAGAGTGATTTATTTTAACCTGTCTTATAGTTAAACTCACAAAGGAAAATGAAGGCCTTTTACTAAAAGGAGACATTTTGGAAAAATTGATATTAAGAATATTATATGCTTATTTTACAGATGAAGGTTGAATATACAGTCTACTGGGTTCAAGATCGAGACTATTATATTTTTGTACACTGTAGAAATGTGTAAATAATGGATTAAACATTTTACATCAAGGTTGCTACCTTTTTCTCGGCCAACAGTTATTTGTTCTATGTGAAAAAAGTACTATCTTCTAAAAACAAGACAAGGTGATTTGCTTCTGTGCTGACAGTTTTTAGGACTTTTTTTATTTTTACCTTTGCTAAGAAGCCTTACATTTTAATTATGAACACAATGTGAATTTCAAAAAATAAACCTTAAAGACCAAATTTATCAAATTCCTCTTAAATATGCTTTTAAATCAAGCGAATATGTTCTCAGACTAGATTTCTCTTACTTTATCTACTTGTACATTTCAATTATTATCAATGGACATCTTTTATTTTGTTTGTTTGCAGGTTTGCTAGCTCTGACTGAAGCTATTCTTGGAGATTTTTTCCCTACGTGACAATGTCATTTTGTTAAAATCTCCTGGATTGCTTTCAATAGTCATCACTGATTCCAATCCAGACCAGTCTTGGAGAGCTGGCAACTCTATTTGTATGGGAAAAGAAAAATCTACATTTACCAATAAAAAAAAAAAAAATCTATTCCCTGCAAACCTATCTATAGCTATATAATAACTTTTAGACAAGTGTATTAAGTTTCTCAGCTTAGTTTCAGCATTACGTTTGTTAAAACTGCATTGATTCAATTCAGAATGTGATAGTTTGCTCAAAGACACTAAATAAATTCAAAGTTTTTAGTTTGCCATTATGTTTTTTCTAATTAAAAATATTTTGTCCAGAATGGTCAATTTAATATCTAACACATACATAGTAGTTGACTCGATGGTTTATGGGTAGGGGGTTACACCTCCTAATTTACCGATCTGAACTCATTCTAGCCTGGTACTGACCACAGAACAGCTATCATCTGACACATGTTCAGTGATCTCTGTGACATGAATTGGTGGTCTCAATCTGGCTCTTGGTAACCACCTTACTACCTTTAAAAAATTACTCTGGTTATTAAGAGGCTGAAGATGGGGACATTTGTCATGGTAACCCAATTACTTAACTTTGTTTCCTCATGTATAACTAGGGGCAGAGGGCTATCTACGAACGTCGCGTTTGTGCTTGTCAGGTTTCCCTCAAATTACCCCATTCTGGGTGACTGGTTTGCCCTGTTGCTATTCTAGTGATAACCATGACAACAAACCCCAAATCAGTGGATGCTCTGAAAACAATTTACGTCTTAGGCTACTCAGTTACTTTGGTGCAGTGTTTCTGAAAGTGGGGACAGCTGTGGGAAGGAGGCAGCATTTGAAAAATTCACCAACCATCTGGTATACAGATATAAAAGTGGGGCAACACTGCCCTGTTAAGAAGCCCTGACGCCATCCCCAGATGATGGCAAGAGGCAGAGCTGAAAGCTATAGCTTTCATATCAGATTTGGTGTAGGCAGTGTTTCATTAATTTGAAGCTCCATCCTCTCATCTACTGGAAAAGAAAAAAAGAACTTTCTATCTCTTCTCTTTCCACTAAGACGTCTGAGGTGTTGAGTGGGGGGAGAGAGAAAGGAGAGCTCTGCTACTCTACCCATCTCCTGGCATCATTTTTAGGACCCTAAAAAACAAATCACACCACATCTTCTGTTTGGGAAAGAACGTGAAAAAGATACATTCAGGACTGAAATTTTCTGACAGTGCCTCTCTCTCTCTCTCTCTCTGCATGCTTCTAGCAGTCAGTTTGATAAGCTTCAGTAATCCATCCATGTAGCTTCTCTTAATTAAAATAAATCTTGGCAAGATCTCTTTAGAAGGAAAGGAGCTGTGCTTTTGCAAATGAAAATGGGCATACTGACTACATCTGTGTCAGTCCAAAGAAAGATTTTTATCATCTTCCCAACATTAACAGCAGCCATTCACAACTGTATAAATGCTGTGCTTTAACACTAAAAACAACAAAAGCTTATGTTTCATTATTTTAATTTTTTTTGAACAAAGTAAATTGGTTTAACCACAGTGTCTATTTTGATATACTGTACCTTTTCTGGTGGTTCTAATAATTGTCTCAGAAAACAGTAATGGGTTTCCATTGGAAACTTCATCTATGGGCTTCTCTGGTGGTTTGTTGGCAATACTTTCTTTCTTCATATCCTTCTTTATTTCCTATATGGGAGGAAAAAGGAAAAATAACTTACAAGATGTCTCAAAGAACACTAACTCAAGTGCCCAGTACTGGAAAAGGTCACAGATGTGAACTTAATTCCCAAAGGAACAAAATCTGATAACTAGACTCACCATATTTTAAAATTTCACAATAATTTGGAAAACAAACAATTAATGGTCCTGTAGTACCTTAGAGACTAACCAAAAAACGTAGATGGTATGACAAGCTTTCATGGCACAACCCACTTCTTCAGAGGGCAAATATCCCAAATAACCCAAATAATAAGAATTATTCTTCCTCTCGCTGCAGAAAACAGAGTTACACTCTTACTATTGTACAGTTACACTGGTGCCAGGTTACTGCCACCCCAATGCATGAAACAACTAGACATTTTTAACTCATGTTTATCATACTTAATGACTTCCAAATACATTTAATTAAATGAAATTAATGTTGAAATTCACCTAGTGGGCAACTCAAGATTGTGAGAGCTAAAATCTTTAAAACTGTTCCTTCCTTCTCACAATAAGAATACTATTTTAATTCACACTGCTGTAGTGTTATAGTTAGTGTGTTTACAGCCACAATATATTTCTTCCACAATCCCTGGACATATTTGCATGCAGAAATGCCACAATTAAAACCTAGCCATATTCAGGCTAATAAATTATCAAAATGTTCCCTAATCAGTGCTTTAAAGGGTTAATTTCACCAGTTTAATAACATTTCTTTCTCTAAAATGTCTGTCCTATTTTACTAGTAATATCTAAGATCAGCAATGGGCAACCTAGGCTAGTGAGGGGGCTGCATGAATGGCCCTCCATCATTTCAGTGGGCCACAAGATTGTCATAACCAATGGGAAAGGATAGTTTTGGTACCTGAATTAGCATATCTAGAGTTTGCAGGATTTGCCAACTGAACCATGACAGCACTCTGATTGGATGCAGAGGGAGCACACAGCTCTCAGTCAATATAGTGTGCAATCAGCACACACCTCACTTTATGTATCCTTCCTTTGCATGCACGTCACTTTGGGAATATTGGTAGGGAAAAAAATACACGGACAAACACCAGCAGAATCTGATAATCCTGCTTGTGGGGAATGGAAAACAAATGTTTCATGGGCCACACATAAAACCCCAATGGGCTGTAGGTTGTCCACCACTGCCTAAGATTATTCTAGTTGAATGATTACAGGAAAATACTTTTCACCATTGTTCCAACATGAATACTTGTGCATTTGATAACATAGCACAAAGTAACCTACAAAGTTAGCTGCCTTAACAAAAGTAAGTCATTTTACCCTCTTGCTGCTTCAACAAAGCAACAGGGGGGTAGGAAAACATGTTTTTCAAATAGGAAAATCTGACTAGCACTACAAATATTGGAAAGGTTACCCAGGGCAGGTATCATACCAACAAATACTGATGGAACATATGTTGCAACTGACTACCTTTTAAATAGACTGTCCTTTTAGCACTGGACAGGGAAAAACAAGTGGAGTGAACTTTCATCAAAGCAATACCATTCCCTTCCTAATCGCTGGAGCCAGAGTAAAGGTGTTCACAATAGTTTTTAATTAGTTATAATTTAAAAAATAAACTCACTAGGGCTGTCACGTGATTAAAAAATTTAATTGTGTGATTAATCGAGTGTGACTCCCCTTTGAAAAGCCACTACGGTATTTCAGCGGGGCAGTGGTGTTTCAATGGGGCTGCGGTTGGAAGCTGCGGCATAGAGCCCGGGGTCGGCTAGTGTCCTCAGCTGACTCTGGGCTCCATACAGCACCCCTTTGAAGTGCCGTGGTGGCTCATCAACGGGGCACTGCAACACGGACCCCAAGCGGGGTCAAAGTGGCAGCGTGCGTTTCAAAGGGGCAATGGAGCCTGGGGTCAGCTGGGGGGTCCCCAGCTGACCCCAGGCTCCACATTGCACTGCCCCTTCGAAGCGCCACAGTGGCATTTCGAGGGCAGTGCAGCTTTAACACCTGCGATTAACACATTAAAAAATTTAACATGTTAATCCTGGACTGTATTAATCACAGGCATTAATGCATGTTAATTGAAAGCTCTAATACTCACTCAACATATGCAAAGAGCACCATTTCACAAACTTTTCATGGAGACATTAAAATACATTCTCCTTTCGGTTCTTATAAAGCCCCATCATCGTAATATCTGAACACCACATGAACTTTAACAATCTTCATTACATCCCTGTGAAGTCACACAGGAAACTTGTGATGGAGCACAAAACTGAACTTGGGTCTCCCAAGTTCTAGGCGAGAGATCCATCCACCAACTCACCTTTTAATTTTTTTGTTGTTGTAATGTCTCACAAACATCTAAACTTGGGCTTTATTTCAGGCCCAAAATGTCTTAAGCAGCAATTTTGTGAATTGTCTGATATTTTTCCTCAAGGTTTTTGTTAAAATGTAGCTACCAAAATAACACTACTTAACCATTGTAGTATTATTCATTATTTCTACGAACTTGAGCTGTCTGCCACTTTCCAAAATACATGCAACGTGGGATGCAATTAATGCACAGATCTCTGAAAGCAGAAGTTGTATAATACTGCACTTCTAAGGAATAAAAGTGTGACACTGCATGGGCTTCCCAAGCCATGCATAGTATCTTATCCCTATGCTTACTACAGGTGATCCATAAGTATACTCTAAAAATGATGCATGTGAACCCACACAGCTTCTGGGTGTGGTGTACTGTCCGTTTAGTGGCACTTGAATCACTTAGCTGAGAGTCAGTTGGCTTTTAGCTCAAGCTCTTGCACTAAACCCCTAGATTTGGTTCTGCCTGTCAGCAATACATATGTATTTTAAAAAGGTAACAATATGTTTTAAAAATAGACTAATCCAGTACATGGACTGTTACAAGAGTATATTTTTAAAATCTTAAAATGGAAAAAGAATGAACGTGTTCATTCTAAATCTGGAGTTCCCAAACTAAGTTTGCAACTCTAAGTGACAGAATATTTTTGAGAATATCAAATGGATACTGACAATTTAGGTGGAAGGAGCTAGTATGTCAGAACATTAGTCGTCTTCAAGCATGATCTCAGAGGGCCTGCCTTATTGTCAGAGGTAGTTTCTCGTGCACCACTGTTAAGTGGATTTTTCAAGATCCCATATCAATATGAAACTGAATGTTCTCCAACTAATCAGACTCAGAAAAATTAATTTCTACAGTCACCAGTACTAAGTGGTACATTTTTCTATTGCAAATCCCTTAAACTGAGTCTTCTCAGTGTATATCATTCTGCAATTTGGTGTGGCTGTGCCTGTCTGTGTGTTTGCTGGAGGAGGCTTAATAACCTGACTCAGCAAGATGGGCAGAAAGGGCTCCCAGGCTGGCAGAACAGGCAGACTCAGCAGCATCTCAGAGGAGGCAACCTGTCACCCATACAGAGGCCCACCAACAGAGAGGGGTAAAAGGAGGCAGTTGACCTGGGGAGCAGCGATTCTAAGAGCCCGGGGCTCCCGGCCCTTTAAAACACTGCCAGAGTGGCACCCCACACACTCCATGCAGCTGTGACGAATAGGGAGGCCAGTGTGATGTGTTCTAAGCACCACTAAGGACCTGCCATCCCAGCCTGGCCCTTTCTACCGGAGGCCTTGCTTTTTCTGGGAGTGTAGAGCCACCACCCCCTGACACCTCGCCCAGTGGCCCACAAAAGCTGTTGGCTCCCCTCCATCTATAACTAGCAAATTCTACACGTGATGTTAAATAGCAGGGTTGTTAGTTTGCAAAGAAAAAAAAGCTTTTGGTAAGTCTAAAGTGTCTATTACTATTTATATTAAAATATATGGCTTTGCTTTCAGGGCTGTTCACTAACTACCATTGAAAGAAACAGTCTAACTACTGTGCCTGCATATAGTTACTTCTAACAAAATATTTCCCCAATAAAGAGGAAATGCGTAAATCAGTTCTGTCACCATAGTTACAGCTAATACTACTATGTGGGGTACACCACTACCACGACCCTGAGAAAATCTGCTCAGAGGTATTAGAAACAATACCCAAAAGTAACCCCAATGTTACCGTAAATTAGCATATATAATCTACACTCATGTATAACCCGCAGTTTTTCCTGAATGTGTAAAAAACGTCTTAGATAACCCGTGCACGTGTACAGCCCGCAGGTTATATACACTACTTTAAGGTACCTGGTAATTGCACATACCAGCCTCAGCCTCCAGGAGATGGGAACAGAAAGCGCAGCGCAGGCGAGCTGGCTGGCCTGCAGGAGGGGAGCCGCACTCGTGCCCAGGTTTTGAACAGCCGCAGCCAGGCACATCCCACCCTCCTGCAGGAGGGGGGAACAGAGAGCACAGCGCAGGCGATCTGGCTGGCCTGCGAGAGGGAAGCCGCACTCGCACCCAGGCTCCGCGCAGCTGCAGCCAGGTGCAATCTACCCTTCTCCCTGTGGGGGGAACGGAGAGTGCAGCGCAGGCAAGTAAAAATAAACTTGCATACCCCGCAGACATGTATACCCTGCGGGGGGAGAGGGGGAGGTTGCAGGGTTTGTAAAACTTTGTATAACCGGCGGGTTATATGCACTAACACACAGTACTTTTTCTAAACTGCATGTTTAAAAGGTCTAGTGCTAATAGTAGAGGGAACTCAATAGTATTTACCTTATAATAGTGCTTTGCTTTATTAGTTTACTAAGTTAAATTCACTAAGGGAACTTCTGCATTTTTATTAATGGAACATTTCAAGAACTTAACTCAACCGATTCTTCCAACAATGCATTTACAAGCCTCACTGTGCAAATTAGCTAGAAACAATTGAGTAAATTGCTGCAAGCTTTCCACAGCAACAATTGCAACATAAAAAGCTGTTCTGTGCTAATTTGGAGATGAAAGGTTCTAGACAGTAGGTCACTTTCATTTCTCAAAGCTGTAGGAAGCTATGCAAATTGGTGCGCAAATTATTGTCACAAACCAAGACAATATCTAAGGCTTATACTTGAAAAAGG